CACCAAAACCCAAAAAAAAAAAAAAAAAAAAGAACAAAAAAAAAGAAAAAAAAAAAGGGGAATTTCCAAACCAAAGATAACGCAATAAACAAGCCCCCTGTAAAAAAATCCCCCACAACTTTCCCAATAAACTTTTCCAAACAAGAATAAGGCGCCATAATGGAGCTCCTATCTTTTCACTTCTTCCTAGAACAAGCAATATGAAAGCATTACCCTCTGTCTGTCCTTATGACGGAGTACATCCCCTATCTCCTCCAAATACCTTATCCGGTTTAGAGGTCCATCCCCTATCTTCCCCTAAACCGCGGAGTACATCCCCTACTCCTCCTCTACACATAACGTATATAAACACTGGTTCTATATACAATCACACATTACAAACAATTAATGTATTCTAGCAACTGTTAAGTTCCATAACACATTCCATTGATTAGTTTCAGTTTGCCTAATCAACATACATTGTCTACAACAATCACGACTATCCTCCACCGATAGCCCAAAGCAGTTTATTTCTAACACAAGAAATAAATGCACAAATGGGATATTCATCAACATTTCATTTCCTCATTTCTCACCAATTAATTATCCAATTAATTAACCAATGTAATTAGACCATTTCCCATAATTACCATTTCAACCCTTAGGTCCCTTTTCGTCAATGATTCAACAATCATTCCATTTTTCTATGCCAAACATGCAACTAGGTTTATTATGAATAAAACACCCAACCTTTGTAAAATTACACAAAAGCCCCAAACCTTTACAAGATTACCAAACCAAGCCCAACATCTCAAAATACCAAAATTTAAAGAACAAAACCCATAGAGAGGAGTAGGTTATCCCTACCTCAAATTCGGAGTCCAAAGGAGAAGACGACAAAACCCAACGTGCTCCAAAACCCGAGATTTTCAGATTAAATGAAGCCCTCGACGATCAACAACCCTTTTGTAAAGGCCAAAGGTGAGTAAATCACTCCTACTAGATCAAAACCTAGAGAGAAGGTAGATACTAGAGAGAAAGACTCAACAATGGTGATTTTGGAAAAGTAAGAGAGAGAAGAGAAAGTAAAAAGTGATTTGAAAAGTCACAATCTCGGGACTTAAACCCAGTCTTCCGCTCGAGCGTAAAACACTCCGCTCGAGCGTCACTCACAGACTTCCGCTCGAGCGCCAACTTCCCGCTCGAGCGCAGAACCTCTCGCCCAGTACTTTTGCAGAACAGACCTCCGCTCGAGCTCCCAATCCCTACGCTCGAGCTCACAACACTGCACAACAAGATACTGGATGGATGTAATCTCGCTCGAGCGCCAACACCTCCGCTCGAGCGTACAGGCCAAAATCTGGGCAACTAGTTTTGGTTTCTAAACTCAACCAACCTGTAACAACACCGCTCTCAACACATCCTATAACTCAAATACAAAGTAAGAAAGGATGTAAACAAGATAATAAACAACTACCAACATCCACGGACACATGTCCGGATCGCTATACAACAAGGGTAAACCGGATCGCTATAGCTTCTCCCTAGCAACTGCAGATAAAAACCTCTCCTGGAAAGCATTTACAAACGCCTCTCATGTACCACCAACACGAGCCTTCTCGTACTTCCACCATTGACCCGCATCTCCCTTCAACTAGAAGGATGTCAAGGTCACCTTCAATGCTCCGTCCTCGATGCCAAGCATCTCGAACGTCTTGCTCATTTGCTCTAACCACTCATCAGCCTTCATGGTTTCCTTAGGATCCCAACAAACTCGTCCGGTTAGACCGGAAGAACTCCCTCTTCAAGAAAAAAGCCCTGCCTCAGCTGCCTGATTCCCAGCTCTGAGAATACCCAAAGCTCCTACTATCTCTCGAGCCAAGGCACTCATAGCCTGCTGACCCGCTGGCTCGGCCACATTGGCCTGGTCAACTCCCCTGCACTGCCGGAATATCATCCGGTAAAGGTGCTTCCTGCCTCGCAGGCCTACCACGCCTAGCACCTCTTCCTCGTCCTGGCATCCTAAATAAGGTAACACAGAACGTTAGCACATTCATAAATGTGCCGAAACAAACATCGCGTCCTAAAAGCATGGACAACAATAATTCATTCCATGTAAGCACATAATCACATAAGCACTTACGAATTTCATTTCCCGATAATGATAGTCCCGAGGCGTTACTAGATTCCGGTTAGAAACAGCATTGATCAAGTGCCTTTCCAACAAGACTCCCAGAAACCCAAGAATCCAATCAACATCCTAGAAATTAAATCCCATACCTAAATAAACACATAAGCATGTTATCAATTAAACACATAGCATATGGCATTACATCTAAGTCTCTATCAAGCGAGACAAACCCATTATGATACTAATCACTTCCCACGTACCCAAGTATTCAAACCCGGTACACTCTGATACACAGTTGTCACGTCCTCAAAATAATAACATTAAACCCATCATAATAAACATGCATTGACACCAAAAAGATTTACTTTCTTCTATTCATCACAGAGTTTCATTACAAAAAGTATTACATGTTAACAACAAAGCAAATGCCCTAGGGCTTACAGCTTTCAAGTTAACACTTGGTCACAAAAAGAGAGCACTAGCTCAATTACACCTTAAGCCCTTGGCTTGAATTTACATGTAATACATCAAAGAAAATATACAACAAAAGGGTCCGTCAGCCTCAAGCCTCCCAAGCTATGTCCTTGGAGGTGGCATGCTACCTGTACCTGAAAATGATATTCCCATATAGGGTGAGTCACAGCTCAGTAGAATACACTAAACCAAATATGAACAATGACTAAAATATTAGCAGTTGATAGATGGCCAACACAGTACTTCCACTTACAACACTTTACAGTTTCATTTTCCATTTCTTTACAACTCTCAATTCATAGCTATGGCTCAGAACCTGGCCATCAACTTATATGAGACAGTAACTCATATTAAACATTCTCCCGCTTTCACAGTAGATACGCATACTAGCTATATCAACACATCACAGATAAGCATATGAGCTATATCACACTTCCAATGACAAGCATATGAGCTGTGTCAACACATCACTAGATAAGCATATGAGCTCTATCTATGGAGTCCATCCCCTATCCTCTCCCAAACAACATTCGGTTCAGAGGTCCATCCCATATCATCCCCTAAACCGTGGAGTACATCCCCTATCTCCTCCAACACAACACAATCCATATAAAACATAACAAATTATTATACACTTATTCAATCAATACATAAAGTTAATGTATTCTTTCAACCGTTCATACTCAATGCATTATTCCAGTGATAGTTTTTTTGCCTAATCATCATGCTTTGTCTACAACAATCAAGGACTATCCTCCACTGGGACAGCCCAAAAACAGTTTATTTCTATACAGAATATAAATGACAACAAATGGATTAAAAAATTTCAACATTCCACAGTGTGAGCGATAGATAATCCAACTTGCCACCCGTTAGTCCCATCATTTTCCAATCTCAACATTTCCACATCAAATTCCTGCATTTATCATAATTAATTTTACAAATTAATTAACCAATGTAATTACGGCATTTTTCATAATTAACATCAACCCTTAGGTTCCATTTTCATCAATGTCTCAACATTTATACCATTTCTCTTATGCCCAAACATGCATACTAGGTTCTATTATAATTTGAACCCAAACTTTTGCCAAAAATTACACAAAGGCCAAGGTTTTCCCAAAATTACACGACAACCCCAATATCCAAATGCTAAAATTTAAAAAAACAAACTCATAAGAGGTAGGAGTTAGGGTATCCCTACCTCGAAGTTTGAGCCAAAAAGGAGATTGAAGCTCAAGGGACCAACGTGCTCCAAATCAAACTTTTTCTGATTTTTAAAACGAAGCCCAATTCACCCTCTATCCTTTTTAACAAAGGCCCTAGTGAGATTCACACTCTAGGGAGGAATCAAATTCTTAGATGAG